GTTTCCCCCCTCTCCGGGCCCCGCCACGGCCAGCATGGCTCCAAGACGCCCCCGAGAGGCCCCCAGAAGGCCCCGGAGGCGCTCCCAAGAGGCCCCTGGGCGCTCTCCAGAGGCTCCCAGAAGGCTTCAGAGGCGCTCACAAGGGCTCTCCAGAGGCTCCCAGAGGCTCTCCTGAGGCTCCCACAGGAGCCCCACGAGGACCACCTCCCGGGTATCGGAGGGCCCCCCCGCCGCTTCCCCGATGGCTCCGCTGGGAACAGCCTGCTACAGCACGCTGCACTGCCGGCACGACAAGCAGCAGGCTGGACAGGAGGAAGGGGATAAGACGGAGGAGGAGGGCGAGAGGAGGGGAGGAGGAGCATGAGGACGATGAGGACGGCAACGACGACGACGACGACGACGACGACGACGACGACGACGACGACGACGACGACGACGACGACGACGACGACGACGACGACGGCGACGACGACGACGACGACGACGACGACGACAGCGACGACGACGACGACGACGACGACGACGACGACAGCGGCGACGACGACGACGACGACAGCGGCGACGACGCCGACGACGACGACGACGACGACCACGACGACGACGACGACGACGACGACGACGACGACGACGACGACGACGACGACAAGGACGAGGACGACGACGAGGACGAGGACGAGGACGAGGAGGACGAGGACGACGAGGACGAGAAGGCCCCCGTGAGGCCCCTGGAGGACCGCGTTGCTTCTGTTGTTGCTGGAGCTGCTGCTGCAGCTGCTGCTGCTGCTACTGCCGATGGTGCTGGATCTGCTGCTGCTCTTGCTGCTGCTGCTGCTGCTGCTGCTGCTGCTGCTGCTAGCGCTGCTCCAGGCGCCGTCAGGATCATCAAGCAAATGGCGCACCCTGAAGCAATAAGCAGCAACGAGCGCACGCTCACTCCTCTGGCATTCGTGGACGGTAGTCCACGGGTCAGCCCTAGTCTCTCCTACAATAGCCGGGTCCGCGCGTGCGGTGCCCAGCGCAGTGGCAGCGAGCCGCCCCCCCCCGGCCGCTTCGGGGTGGCCGTCGGGGTCGCCTCGGAGCCTCTGGAGCGGCTCCGATCTGGAGCGGCTCCGATCGCGCAGCGGACGCTCCGTGACTGCCGAAGATCCGCTCCAGACGCCCCCAAGACGGCCTCAGGACGGCTCAAGACGCCCCCGAGCTGCCCCGAGAGACCTCCGAGCGGGCCCTCACGACGCAAAAATCGTCCCATTCCCTTCGTAAAACGTACATTTTTGGAGAACTCGCTCTTCTGGTCTGCACGGCGTCCAAGACGGTCGAAGACGCTTCCAAGACCGCCCCAACACGGCCCCAGAGGCCCCCCAGAGAGCCCCAGTCGAGACCAAAACGGCCCCTCAGGGCCCCAAGACGGCTCGCGAGGGACCCAAGAAGGCCCCCAGAAGCTCCCAAGAGAGCCCCGAGAGGGCCACGGGAGGCGCCCATGAGGGCCTCCAAGTACCCCCAGAGCGCCCCAATGCGGCCCGTGCCCCCCAAGACGGCCCCAGAGCGGCCCCAGAGCGCCTCAAGAGGGCCCAAAAAAGCCTGGACAGGACCCTCCAAGAGGCTCCCAAGAGAGCCCCAGGAGGGCCACAGGAGACGGCGCAGGGCGGCCCCAGAGCGCTTTAAGAGGGCCCAAAAGAGCCCCGACAAGACCCCCCAAGAGGTTCCCAAGAGCTCCGGCTCGTGCTTGGGCTCGAGCTCCGGCTCGTGCTTGGGCCTGGGCTGGGGCCTGGGCTCGGGCTCGGGCTCGGGCTCGGGCTCGACCTGGCCTTCGGCTCGGGCTCGGGCTCGGGCTCGAAGCTCGGGCTCGGGCTTGGGCTCGGGCTCGGGGCCCAGGCCCCCCCCCCTCCAGTCGCGCCACAACCGCCGCCAGAGGGATCTCCACGCCGGTTTTTACAGAAAAACTACCCGTAGGCCCCTGCGGGGAATGCCGCGGATCACACCGACCAAAGCGCGTCCTCCTGGACCTCGGCCTCCGGGAATCAGCCCCCAGGGCACCGCCAGGGCCCGCGCACCGGGGATCGTTCTCGCGCCCCGGGACCTGGGGGGACCTGGGGCCCTTTCAGCAGCCTCCTCAGACGGCGGCGGCAGCGGCGACGACGACGACGGCGACGACGACGACGACGACGACGACGACGGCGACGACGACGACGACGACGACGACGAAGATCTCGCCTGGCCTTGCGCAGGCCCCCAGCATGAACGCTCTCTACACGCTCGTGGAAGCTCGTCGGGTCCACACTAGTCTATACTATATGGCCGGAGGAACCGCGTGCCGGAAGGAAATCCAGCCAAATGACTAGAAATGGCTCCGAGACGCTCCGGAGGCCGCCCCGACGGCCCAAAGACGGCTCCGAGCCGCTCAAAGACGGCTCCGACCCGCTCAAGATGCCCCGAAGGCGGCCCAAGAGGGCCCCGAGACGCGCAATGATTCGGCCAAGACGCCCGAGATTGGCCCAAGACGGCCCAAGAGCTCCCCAAGACGGCCCAACAGGCCTCGCAAGAGGCCTCCCAGGAGAGCCCCGAGAGGCCAGAATCGTTGATTTTCATTAGTTTTTTTCTAGGTTTTTTGCTTCCTCGCTTTCCCGGCTTCCCGACGCTCCGAACCCCCCCGAGAGGCATCCAAGACCGCTCCAAGACGGTCCACGAGGTCCCCAAGAGGACCCCAAGACGGTCCAAGAGGGCCCCAAGACGGTCCAAGGCGGTCCCAGGACGGCCCCAGAGGCGCCCAAGACAGGCCAACGGGACCCCAAGATGGCCCGAAGAGCGGCCCAAGATGGCTCCAAGACGGCCCGAGGACCGCCCAAGAAGGCCCTCGGGGGCCCCAAGACAGCCCACGGGGCGCGATAGACGAGCCCAGAGAGGCCCAAGAGGCCCCCAGGAGCCCAAAAGAGGTCCCCAAGAGGTGCCACGGGGGCGGACGAGGGGACCGCCTCAGGAGGTTTTGGACGGTTTGGGGCCTCAAAATCATCCGCTTTACGACGGTTTTGGAAGGATTTTGGCCTTCTCGCTTTTTCCGCTTTCCGACGCTCGAAGACGGCCCAAGAGGCCTCCAAGAGCGCCCCAGAACGGCCCAAGAGGTTTCCAAGAGCGCCCCAAGACAGCCCAAGAGGGCCCCAAGACGACCCAAGAGAGGCTCAAGACGGCCCACGAGTGCCCGAAGACAGGCCCAAGAGGGGGGCCAAGAGGGGGACCACGGACCGAAAATCCGAGCATTCCGCCCCAAGAGGGCGCCAGGAGGCCCAAACAGGCCCCCAAGAGGCCCCAAGGGGCCGCCAAGAATCCCCCAAAGAGGCCCCAGGAGGCTCCCAAGGAGCCCAGACGAGGCCCCAACAGAGGCCCCAACAGCTTCCAAACTGGCCATAAAGAGGCCTCGAGCCCGCCTCCGAGCTTCCTCGCCGCGAGGGTGCCAACACGGCCCCAGACGGGCCCAGGACGGCCCAAGGCGCGCTCAAGACGGCCCAAGACGATTCCAAGACGGTCCCAGGAGGGTGCGCCCAGGACGGCCCAAGGACGCGCCCGGTCGGGGCCTCAAGACGGGCCAAGATGGCAAGAGAGCCCCAGCTGGCAAAAATCGTTAATTTTCCATTGTTTACTGTTACACCCTTTGCGTTTCCCGCCGTTTCGGCGGTCCGATGCACCAAGAGGCCCCAGAAAGTCCCAGGAGGGTCCGAGGAAACGCCCAGGAAGGCCCCAAGACGGGCCAAGACGGACCCAGCACAACCCAAGGCGCGCTGCGACGGCTCAAGACGGCTCCAAGACAGCCCCAAGAGGGTGCCAACACGGCCCCTGCTGGGCCCAGGACGGCCCAAGGAGGCGCACAGGAGGGGCCCAAGACGACTCCAAGGCGGCCCCCTCACGGTCCCAGACGGCTCCAAGACAGCCCCACGAGGACCCCGATGGGCCCAGGACGGCCTACGGACGGCCCATGAGGGGCCCACGACGAACCAAGACGGCCCCATCACGGCAAACGGCGCCCTCAAGACGGGCCTGGACGGCTCCAAGACGGCCCTTTGAGGGAGCCAACGCGGCCCCACACCCTTCGGGCGCACACTTGGGGGGGCTGGGAGCTTGCGACAAGTCTCCCACATTCATTGTCCTGCCCCATTCTGTTCGCCTGGAGGCCTCCTCCAACCCTGTGGGCGAACAAGAGGAAACCCAGCGGGCCGCCAACCCTGGGGCCCGTGGGCCCCGCGCCGCTTGGGCAGAAGACGAACGCCGGGTCTGACAGGCCAGCTACCGCCTCCCTTTGCCCGATATGCTGTGCCATTCTGTTCCCCCAGGGGCCTTGGCGAACTCTTCGGGCCAAGCAGACCGGACCCCTGGGACAGCAGCCAAGTGATATGACCCTGGGACCTCTCCGCTTTTTTCGGACGAGCACCTGGGGGCCCCAGGAGATTCGGACAAGTCTTCCCCATTCCTTGCCCTGTCCCGTTCTGTTCGCCCGAAGGCCTCCACAGACCCTCTGGGCGAACAGAATTGGACATGGCGAACAAACCCTCCCGTTGGCGGTGATGCGACTGGATCGCACCATCAAGGCGCGCCCGGAGGTGATGGCCGACCCAACAGCGGTTTCTCTAAAGATTTTACAGAATTTCAAATTTTCTTGAAGCTCTCTTGTGCCCTCCCTGTAGATCCTTGCGAGCCTCCCCGGCGCTTTCGGTGGCTTTCCCCGATGGCCTCCCGAGCCCTTCCCCGAGCGCTCCTGAGACGCCTCAGATGGGCTTCGACTTCGACGCACATCCCCGAGAGACTTCGAAACTGTCCTCAATAGGAGGGGGGTGAACGAGCAGTGCGCTGGGCCAAGCTGCTGGAGCGCTGCAAGAGCTCGGACACGAAGGCGCGGTCTCGCTGCCGCCGCCCGAGCCGCCGCCGTGTTTGTAGATTTTCGGTACAATCTGCGCCGTTCCTCCGAGAACCATTCCAGAGAGATGTCGTGGACGGAGTCCACGGGTCAGCCCTAGTTAGCTACAACGCTGGGATCAGCGCGTGCGAGAAGGGCGAGCAGTGGCAGCGGGCACTGGCGCTGCTCAGCGAGATGTGTAAGGCGAAGCTGGTGCCCAGCGTCATCTCTCCTACAATAGGTGCCCCAGCGCTCGCGGAGGGGCCGATCGGAGGCAGCGGACCGGCCCCCTCCAGCGGCCTCTGCGAGTCCCAGCAGGTCCCGGCCCGCTTCCAAGATGGCCCAAGAGCGTTCCGAGGCGCACCAGGAGGCCCCCAAGAGGGTCCCCAAGAGGGCCCCCAGACGGCCGAAGACGGGCCAAGAGGGTCTCCGAGACGCGCCCAGAGCGTTCGACGACGCCTCAGACAT